AAAAAAAAAAAAAAAAAAAAAAATCCCTGGGCACTTATAGAGGATGAAGAATAGCTGCTAGGTATTAGAAGCTCTTCCCATCCTTAGTGCAACGAAGATCTGAGACACATAGGGACCATGACGATAGCACAGTGGTAGGAGGACAGAAGGCGGGGACAAAATAAACTCAGGCTTCTCCCTGTAGCATAACATGCTTTAATAGACCCACAGTGAGGCCTGATAAAAGCATAAAAGCAGAATGATTACATAAAACACACAAAAAATTACCCACAAAAGATCTAACTAAGTCATCTAGCTTCACTTGCTCTCAGTCGACTTAGGATCATTAATTTTGGAGTCTCATGGCTAGGTAACACGTTACGTTTCCCTCTGACTTCGGTGTACATGCACCTCTGTCTTGTAGGTTATGCTAATAGTTGCCTGGGTTGCTTCTTATGGACCTGAGGCTGCATTTGCTGAGAACACTAACTGTTCACTTGGGCCTGCAGACATCCGATGGGAGACTAAAATGGAGCAAAAGACGTGACATCTGTAGTATGGCTGTTCTCTTTGCTTTCTTAACTGCTAAGTCAGATTCTGCTCAGCTCTACGTGGAGACTTGTTGATTATTATTTGAGTATTGTTATTTCCTGGGCTACATCACAGGATTAATTTGGCCCGTTGCCCACTGGAGCTGGTATCTGTTTCTTTTACCCCACTCTTGTGCTGTTTTAGAAGCTTAAACACTAAAAATCCTACAGCCCCATGGTAAGGCCAGGCCACTTACAAAAGGCAATGACACCAGGTATAAGAATAACACAGTGGTTCCTAAGCAAAGTCGATTGCCTGTTGGCTCACCAAGTACAAGGCTAAGATTGGAATGCTGTATGCAAGGTGATGGAGCTAGATACCCAAAGATTCAGTGGCTTCTAGGGTGCACTGACCATATTTTGGAATTTTGCTCTTGGTCAATAAAAATTACCAGACTTTGTCCCATGCCTAGAAATCAATGAAATCCTGCTGTTTTGTTTGTTCTGTGAGCAGCATCTTGGTCACTCTCTGAATAGATTGCTCCTGTTGTCAGGCAAAGCCCCAACTTTCTTTAAGCCCCCTTTCTCCTCCTCCAATAGAACTTGTGTATGTGTCCTCAGTTGCTGCCCTCAGTCTCAGTTCTACTGTCTCTGGGTCAAAAGATCCTATTGTCCAATATCAGATCCAGGTGGGTCTTTGAGTTGCATAAATGGTTCTTGAACTCTCTCAGTTCCAAGAAACAGTGGCTCAAACTTGCAAACCTTCTGCATAACCCTCCCAGAGTGCTAGGATTACTTCGGTGTGCTCTGAATTTGTATTTTTAATAAGCATCATTTTCATTATTTAGAAAATTGCTGAGCTTTATATCATGGAAAATCTAAACAATATTTTAAGATAAGGAGTGGTTTATTTTTCTTTCACATAAAGAAGCTCCAAAGCAAGCAAGATTTTTTTTTTTTTAGTTTTTTGAGACAGGGTCTCACTATGTAGTTGAGACTGACCTGGAACTCACCATGTAGCCTAGGCTGGTCTCGAACTCACAGCAATCCTCCTGCCTCAGCCTCCTGAGTGCTGGGATTACAAGCATGTGCCACCCAGCAAGCAAGATTGGTAATGAAGGAAGCTTCATTATGTGAGGAGCTGAGGGTCTTTCTAGCTCAGAGTTTCTCTTCCTTGAGGTGTCATTCACCTTGTGAAGAAGTTGCTGAAGATCCTTCCACTTCAAACATCTTCTACTCAGAAAGGAGAGAGACAATAGGTCTCTGCTGGCTAAGTCAATCCACTTAAACTTCACCCAACAACTTCCACTTATATTTCATTTATGGGAGTGTTACCAGATGTCCCACCTTTTCCTATCTGTAACAGAGGCGAGATATCAGAATTAGTAGGTCTTAAAAAATCTGTTTCTGTTGCTACCCACAGCAATACTGGGGATTCACTGGTAAGAAATAGGACAAAATGGGTATTGAATAACCAACTTGTGGTTTCTGACACACCCACAATTCAGGCTATATTAGTAATTACATGATGTATCTGGATTCCAGTCGTTCATTATCTATCTACCTATCTATCCATCTATTTTCTGTATTCCAATTCTTTTGAATTTGCTTCCTAAAAGTCTTCCAAAGAAATCAGTCTACTTCATCATGACACCTTAATTAATAATCTACCCTTGTCCCCCAGCACACACAGTACAGTCCACACCCCTCAGTGTAATTCTTGGTACTCTGTTCTCTGTACCACAGTGAGAGTGACATTGTCAGATTACAGATTTGATGGTGATAGTCAAAGAGATTCTCTTTTGCTCTTAGGATAGAGAAAAATTTCCTAGAGTGATGTCCTAAATCTTGCTCTCCCGGCTTTTTAATGTCAGAGAACATTATCTTTGTATTCTCAGCAAGGATCATCAAATCTCCTTTTCCTCCTTTCCATTCATTAATTTATTTAACATAGTCCTTAATTTTAGTCTCCTCAAAGACTTCTGATAATGTAGTAAAAACCAACAAGAGAATAAGGTTTAGGGAGTTGCAAACAGTTCAGTCCATGGATGTATGGCCGGTAGATGAAGAAATCCTGGGGGAGTATCAAGTTCAGGAAAACTACAGGCTAGCAGTCAAGGAGAACAGCAGGTCCCTTGTTTTATAAAAAACAGAGAAACAGCTATACCTGTGGATTTAGCACTGCTATGTTGGTGCTAAAACAGAATAGTGGGGTAGTTGCAATAGGAATCATATAACCTCAAAGTCTAAAATATTTTGCTACATGACCCCTTAAAGAAAGACCAAGCACCTACATGAAGAATGCTCTCGGCTTAGTTGTATCCCTCCAAAAAACAGTCTGCTGAATCTCAGCCACTCGCACTGTCAGCTTCCTGTCTAGGACTAATGATCGTGTTGCTATTCTGTGAATGATATTTATTCAAAGTGACTAAGATGCTCTATTTCTTGGTTTTCCCTCACCCCTTCAGAACTAGAGGCTACCCCTCTTTTAATGTCAAAGTAACATAGCATTTACTACTTCTAAGAGGGATCCAGGGAAACTATGACCCTGAGCTGCACTCACTAAACCAGCCTTCTACATATCCTGTTTTGGCACATATGGTTTCAAAACAGCCTGAGCCACTCTGAGAAGCTCATCCAAAGATCAAGTGATGGGCAGGCAAAGTTTCAAGGCCAATCATGCTGGGTAACAGCTTTGTCCACTCAAAGAAAAGCAAGGACTAGAATGGAGGGATGTCTGCACGGAGGCTCACACATCAGGGTCTCAGCACAACAGGAGGGTTTTCCTAACCCTCTGCAGCGCTGGAATTCTCCCTGCTGTCCTTTTGTCTCCTGCCATGTCTCAGGGCTTGGCAGGTGTGCCAGCAGGTTTTAGGGCCTGATGCTGCTCTGATTTCTGGCTTTAAAAGTATAAAAGAAATTACAAAATGTAATTTTATTGAACCTGGGGTAGCAAGAGCCCCTAAAATAAAAGCATGGTGGATTTCATGGTAAATCTGTCTGGGACTTCACAGAGGTCACCTTTGTCTTTGAGACTGAAATACTATAGTAGCCTTAGCTTGTCTTTATATTGGTAGATTCTGAAACCCCAATTCTTCATTTTTACACAGCAATCAAGACAGTTCAACATAATGTAAAAGAATGCTTTTACCTTACTAATTTTAAAATAACACTTATCAAGATGTAATTTACATGCCATATCTTTCTCCCTTTTAGGATATTCAGAAAACCATCTCGTCTTCACCACTAATCACAGAATATTAGGTCAATGAAATTACCCTGTATGAGATTGTAAAGATGGATTGCACGTTTGTCTAAACTCTTAAACACTCAGTATAACGAGTAACTCCTAATGTACACTTTGGACTCTGGGTGACAACGAAGAATTCTTGCAGCTTTATCAGTCACAACAAATTTATCTTCTGGTGCAGGATGTTCATAATGGGGAAAGCTATTCACACAGGGGGCAGGAAGTAGATGGGAAATCACTACTTTGTGATCAGCTTCTCATTTGTGTTGTGAATTTAAACCTGCTCTAAAATCAGAGTTCATAGGAAAAAAAAACCAGTGAGAATATCCCTAGCTCTAATATTTAAAATATTTATTAATCAAGAAAAAGAATTATTTTTTTGTGATTCCAATCAGTATAAATGAATTATCTTCATGGACCTATATATTTAGATGGGAGAGATACAAGTTTTGTTAGCTTGAGATAACAAGGATTTTACTGAATGTGGTGCCAGGGACAAATGCCAGTGGAACTTGATTGCTACTGGCTACTAGTGATATTTTTAACAATTATGATATTGTTCTGAGTAATGTCCTTGTTACATATTAGGTATTTTCTATTCCAATTTCTACCGTTATTAGTGTGAGTGGTTTGAAGGAGCAGAAGGATTTTTCAGGAACATATGTGTTGTGTCATGATAGAACTTCCTCTATCTATAAAATATTCCAAATTAATTTTGTTTACACACATGCATACATGCACACACAGTGTGGGAACACATCCATGTATTTCTTTTTTTCCTGATGTTACTTGACATGGCACATGCTTTGAGATGTTGTGACTTAGGAGACATAATATGAACTAATTTGTTAGCAAAATATTTTTCATGTAACTTTTGCTGAATTCTATGACTAACAAGACAGGAACAAAAGCAGAGACTAAAGCTTTTACATTCTTGTTAGAGAATCAAATCTCTGTGGTTACTTTTCAGCTTGGTTCTGTCTGGAGAAAAGGAGGCACATATAAAACCACAGGGTGAATGACGAAGTTCTCCCACGTACTTACAAAAATTCACAAGAAATTGTACGTCTCGCATTCTTCCTTTTTCTACCAAAGAAGAAAGAGCTGAGTGTGATTCCATTTTAAAAGTCACCACTTTCAGTCCACTAAGTTATACTGAGACACAACGAGCTTCTCTGCACAGGAAGTGTCACAGGTCACAGGCGAACTTGTCCCATATCTGCCAACTGCATTTCCTGTTGGGGCAGATGCTCCACACAGGCCAATAACATTCTTTTGTCTCTTGAGCACAAGATAGGACAAAATTAAGATCAGGATTTGACACAGAACTGAGCATTTCATTAGCGGGAAGAGCTACCACTATGCTGTTTGCCAGCCTGCTTGGGGCAGCCGTCACCTCCATCTGCCTTGGTAAGGGTGTCCACAAGCACTGCTCAGCCTCTCCCACCCCTGAAGTTCACAGGGAGAGCAAACTGTTGGCTGAGAAAGCTGCTCAGAGGGAGAGATAACGGGCAATAGAACTAGAGTGCTGGGGTCTAAACTGTTCCATGCTTGATCCACCTATGCTTGTAAGTAAAGGATCGTCTTATTATCCCGACTCTCTTTCTTGCAGGAACCAGCATGGCCCAGAAAGTATCTCAAGCTCAAACTGCAGTTTCAGGGCTGGAGAAGGAGGCTGTGACCATGGACTGTGTGTATGAAACCAGTGATTCTGCTTATTCCTTATTCTGGTACAAACAACCAGCGAGTGGGGAAATGATTTTCCTTATTCGTCAGGACTCTTACAGTGAACACAATGCAACGGAGGGCCGGTATTCTCTGAGTTTTCAGAAGGCAGCCAGGTCCATCAGGCTCACCATCACAGCCTCCCAGCTCCTGGACTCAGCAGTGTACTTCTGTGCTCTGAGAGAGGGCACAGTGAGCAGAGGCCTGTAGGAGCTCTACAAAAACCTCAACAAGAGACAGGGCCCCAGGAGTGACTTCAGCCCAGACAGGGAGGAGCACAAGCATCATGACTGTATTCTAAACCATAAATTTTACAAGAGTTCAACAGTTAAAGTTCATTTATTTAGGATAAATAATTTTAATCAGAAAATCATTCCTTGATTCAGCTGATTTTAGTCAAGTGATTTTAGTGCTTGTACATTGCCCCTCAGAGCCTGTGTAAGACAATATCATAGTTGTCTGGAGTTACAAAAACCTTGTGCTTCAAAAAGGTTTATGTAAGCGCACAGCTACCCATTTTCTTATTCCTGTAGTACAATTGTGATGGCTCCTCTTAATTGTAATCAATTTGATTGGTTTAAGAAATACACATAAAGTTAGTAAAGCACATTTCTGGGTTTGTCTGGGTGGGTCACAAGGGTGTTACTTTGGGTGTTATATATGGATCGTAATACCATCCTATCTGGCACTATTTGTATGCTTTCCTTCCACTGTGAGCTGAGCAGTTTCCCAGCCACCCTGACCTGAGCTGTTTCCCCCACGACATCCTTACACCTTCTATGTTTCTGCCTTGGAGCATGCTGATCATAGATTGAAGTCCCTAAAACTATAAGTCAAATTAAACTTCTCTTCATTTAGGTTTGGGTGTCAGTAACTGTCCCAGGATGGGAAAGCTAATACAGAAATTTGGCACCAGAGAAGCCGAGCCATTGCTGTGACTGTCTCTGACCATATGGCTTAAGAGTGGGAAATGGTTTATGAAGGAGGTTGGAGATGCAGGCTGGAGCAACTTGGAATGCTGTAAGCAGTCCTGATGGGTGATTCTGGTTGGTTCTCAGAAAACAATAATGCTGACAGGAATGTAGACAGTAAAGGCTGGGTTCAGGAGGTTTCTTTTGGGAGGACTCCGCTGGCAACTGTGTGTGCGTGTTATACTCTTGCAAAATATAAGTCTACATTTCCCCATGTGCTAAGACCTTGTGGGAAACTGAAATCAAGGCGTCATTCTCAGCTTTGAGACTCTGTGTGCAATTTCTCTATCCCATTCTCGTTCCCCTCACCAAGTGCTGTTAAGACTTCAGAGAACTGAGTACCGCTATGATGTGAATATAGGTTTGTCCCCACTAGAACTCATGTTGAGGCTTGGCTTTCAATGTGACAGTGATGGGAGATGGTGCCTTTTAGACATTCAGAGCACTGGGCCTGGGCTTGATTAACATTCTCCTTAGAGGACTGTGTCAGGAGCAATTCTACATAACTTTGGGGAAAAATTATGATTAGGGCCTAGTTTTCCTGTCTACAGGCCAGCTGCAGACGTGTTGAGACATAATTCTGTCTTTGCTTCCTGTCACAGCTAAAACTTCAAGGGTCCCAGATGCTGTGACACTCCACAGCAGGAATGCACCAGCTGGAGACATCCTGGGAGGAACCAAATCTTCATCTGCATAGTTCCTTATTGTTCTAGGATTTCCACTGACCCCTGAGTCACCTGTTGCATTTGTTTTCTTCTGATGTACTGAATAAAGTTGTGGTAAGCTTGGGGGATTAGTCTTTGCTGCTCAGAGCAGCGTTGATCAGGCCCAAAGCTCAGCTTCTCCTCAAAGTCTCATTTTTCCTATCTTTCCAGAATAATGAATTAATTCTCCCTGTGCTGTCGTGGCTCACGGGAGACTAGGACTTACTGCAGAGGTTCTAGTAACATCCCCTTTCCCTGTTCCCTACAAGACTGGGGTTGCTCTTTCCATAGTGAAGTAGACTGGACTTGATCTCTCTAGAATGAGTTGGGTTTCATGAGCTGGAATAAGTAACCAAGCGTGGGCTGTTGCGAAGCAAATTGGGCTTCCTCAAAATCCTCTCTTGCTTCCTCATTGGACAAGCTCTGCCTTGGATAAAGTTTCCTCTATGAAGTGAAATGACTGGGATGAGTGAGCAAAGAGGGATAACTCAGGTTGTGGACTGGAGGAGAGGAGAGAACTTTCTATGCAGATGGACCCTTTCTACCCACAGGAACCTCAATGACAGGTACAAGGAAAACGTCTCATACTATTCCACAGAAAAGTTGTGCCAGGGAGTATTTGGGAATTTAGAGATCTCTGCATGGAGAAAATGCTGTATGTAATTATTAAATATTATCCAAATTATAGTTGTGAATCTATAGAACAGATGTTTAGTGCTTTCTTCATTGAGTACTATTTGATTCTGTTTATCTACCTTCTCAAGCTATTTTACAATAGTCTCTCTTATGAAACATTTTTCTCTCTATAGTATCTTTTACATGCTGTAAACTGTCATCTGAAAACATTAAATGAAAAATTCCAGAAATGGAGAATTCATAAGATTCACATTCCATGACATCTTGAGCACTGTGATGAAATCTTGAATCAGTCCTTTATTCAGTATATCCATAGTGACAACTACTCATTTCTCAGTCCTTAGCCTTTTTTTTTGTAGTCAGTTTAGGGCTAGTTTTACAGCCCTAACTCAAACTGGACATGTTACAACTGCAATGCACAAGCATTTAGGTAAAATGGAAAAGGCACCTTTGTGGGTAGAAGACTTGAACATGCAACTTGTTCTATTAGATGGCAAAGTATTACACCAGAAAACATCATGCCTGCCTTATACACAAATGTTCCCATAGGACTGTATGTATAAGAAAAGTATGCATAGAGTTCAGTGCTCTCTGTGTTAAGTGCAGATTTTAGGAAATATTTTTTGTGAATTAGCATGACTGATACTGAGGGTGACAAGGCTCGGTGAAATATTTAAAAAACCCACCAGTGGGCGCTGCTTTCTCATACATGGCTCACATTTGCAGTTGGCGGGTGATTCTACAGCCTTATCTTTGTAATCACAAGTCAGCCTACCACAGGGGCTCTTGCCTCTGACTAAGATGTTTCTAGAAGATCCCGGTAGAGTTGAGCCCTTTAAGATTTTGTGTAATGCAAGGAATGAGGACCATTTCCCTTTACCAACATGTCTCCTGTCACCTGCTCAGTATTTCTGATTCTCCTGATGTTCGGTAAGTAATATTTGATCATTAACATTAATTAATTTTCTTACAATTGTGATAATCTTTGTCCTTCTTCCAAACATAAACAAATATGTTGCTGTTCTTGTTCTTCTCGGTGACCCAAACAGAAGACTCAGTGACCCAAAGAGAAGACTCAGTGACCCAAATGGAAGGCCGTGTTACTCTCACCGAGGGAGACCCTCTGATACTGAACTGCACTTACCAGACGATTTATCCAGGTCCTGTCCTTTTCTGGTATGTCCAGTATGTTGACAGAGGCCCTCGGCTCCTCCTGAAGAGTGCAACAGAAAACCAGCGGGCAGAGAATCAAGGGTTTGAGGCCACGCTTGTCAAGAGCCCCAGCTCCTTCCACCTGCAGAAACCCTCACTTCAGCTGGCGGATTCTGCCCTGTACTATTGTGCCCTGGGGACACAGTGAGGGGAGCTGTAGGGGGAGCCTAACATAAATCCAGAGGGTGCAGGAGGCTGAGCAGAGCAGCCCTGGAAGGGGAAGGTTGTTTCCTTCTCTACCTAGGCAATATTCAATCAGTTTCCCCAACAGCATAAGCCATTCTCAGGCCGAGTTTCTAGAAAACTTGGAGGTCCCAAGTTACTCTGGAGTAAAATGGGGTGGAGGATGCATTAAACAGATCTCAGGTTTTGATCACCAGAAGTTTTAGTGTTTAGCTAGGAAGGCTTCTCTCTCCTTCAGACTTGAAAATCTCTCACAGCAAATGTTTCCAGGAAAACCATGGCATACATAGGGTTATTTTCTACCAAGATGACCTATGGTGTTTTGTGATTTGAAATCTCCAGGGATTGTGTGTTCTTCATGCAAACATTTATGAGCCATGAAAGAGACACAGAGTCTGTCTTAATTATCCTGCTTCAGCCTCTACAACAAAGTTAGACTCTGCCTCTCCTTAGGCTCTGCTGGAGAATGTTCAAGCCAACTCCCCACCAACCTTTCACTTCTTGAAACTGCTCGGGAAACAGCTGTAGGAGGATCCTCAGTCTGAGACACTGAAGGACAGCTCTCTCTGGGGCTCTCACTACACAGGTGGTGAGAGTCAGAGCAGTTGGGAAAAGCTGTGTTACTGAGTCCTTCTTTATGCCCAGGGTCCTCTGCTATCATCCTGACTTAAATGACAACCACCTGGGGTTCAGCTTGAGGTTTTTTTGAGAATTCATTTGAAATAGGAGAAAGAAGACCAGGGACTCTGGCCATCTCAATTATCTTAATAAAATGTTAGTTTAAACTCAAATACCCAATAGTCTTAGATATTTCTCTGTAAAACAAGAAAGATCTGAATAAAAAGACCATAGATGCCTCTCACAAGGAAGACCCATTTTTGTCTGCCATTTACTGGCAAGGGAGAAAAATGGAAAAATCTAATCCTGTGTCTCTAAACTCCAAAATTAACCTGTAGCAGCACATAGACAATCAAATGTCTCACTTGAACACTGGTCAAACTGTAGACCACAGAATAAATCCCAAGTTCTAATATGAAACAATGGAGATTTTTCTTTGAATTTTATCATCAGTTTTCATTTTATTTATTTTTAATTGAGTTTATTGGTACATTTTAGGTACATAGTACAGTTACATTCACTACTGGGTTCTTATTCCTTTACTTGACAGGTCTTGGTTCTCATTTTTTCCCTTTGTCCCTGCCCTCCCTTCATCCCCTCCTCCCCTCCCCATTTATAAACACTTTATTTACATTTTTTTCTTTTTCTCATATTTTTTCATTTCCCTTATTACCTTTCCCCTACTCTTCCCACTTTCCCTCCACCTTTAGCCCTTTTCTTCCTATTTCACATGGTCAATTATCTCATTAGGATCTTATGTACTATTATAGTTTTCACACCACTGTATCATAGGTTTTTATAAATGTAGTTGCTCTGTGGGCTGAGGATTTAATTAAAATGCAAGGAAAGATAACAGGATTTTCCCCCCTTTGCTGTTTTTTTTTTTTCTTACCCAAATCCACGTCTCCTTCCTCTTGGAAGTGTAGTAGTAGTCCACAGTAATTAACACCCTGTGATCTGAATTACCCAGCTTCATCTGCTTGTTGGCATTTTGCTTGATTTAGCTTTTGTATAGATCTTTGGGTGGAAAAGAGAGTGGTTGAATCTTTCTTTACTCCTCACCTGCTGAAAAGAAACGGTTCTGACACTGACTGCATCCCATGAGAAATCTCTCTTCTACAGCGCCAGCTTCTCATGAGTCTGTCTTTACCCTTTCCCCCTTCGGATTGAGGGTCTTCATGATTCTCCACTCTCAGTAGGCATTGCTGAGTGCTTCAGCATCCTTCGCTGGTTCCCTGACCCCACTCACCCCTTTCAATATGACTTTCTTTGAATTCTCTTCATTTTCCTGGCTGGGCAATGCCTTTTCTTTCTTATCTGCACCCTGAATGGTGCAGGTGAGAGCGACTTCTTGTTCTTGTTCCTGTTCACCTATGGGTCTCTCATTATTCTCTTTGCGTCCTTGTCCTCAGCTACTTCTGTCTTATAGAATTTTTAATTGGATTTTGTCTCTCTTTGTGCTGTGATCCCGACTCTTACTTTCCTCACCCACATGGCCCTGGCATGTTCTCTACTGTGATACAAGATCTCAAATGCTGCGGAATTGCATAGGCCTTGTCCACCCTGCATCTACTTTGCACACTTCCATGGCTGATAAGGTGCATTTCCAAGGGATGTGTGTCTAGATGAGTATGTCTTAATACTATTAATTGCTTCTGGCAGCAGCTTTTCCCTATTCCTCTCTAGCAATCACAGAAAACAGATTTTTTCAATGTTATGAGCCTGATGTTTTCTAGTATGTATGCACATATATTATATACATTATATATACACTATATGCATATATCCTATTATATTATAGAATAATATATGTTGGAATACATTAGAGCATATTAGAATGTATAAAAGTATATCTACTTATATATTCTCATAGGTACATGTGGGATATATTGGTAGGTGTATACTTTAAATTATAAGAAATTGTTAAATTAAATTTAACAATAAACAAGAAATAAGTAATTATAACACTATAATCTATAATCAAAACATCCATAATCAAAACATCCCTAATCAAAACACTTTAATAAATTCCATAGACAGACTGCTTGGTACCTCTGAAAATATTGTAACATAAATGAGACAGCTGTTTCCTTTCTAAAAATCTTGTTTAATAAAAATATCCTAATGCTGTGAGTTGTACTCCAAATCCTAGCCAAAATGACTCCATCTTGCAGCAAGCCTATGCCAGGTGCTGAGGCTCAGTGTCACAACATAGCACAAGGTCATCCACCATCAAGGATAAATAGAGCTTGCTGAAACTGTCAACGTTTCTTTATTAGAATGGCTGTGAACAGAGTACACAATTTCCCAAGGGTCCTTCTTACTTTTGATCTTGCTTTTCTGTTTTAAATTGTGCCCTATAAAACTAGTAGCCTAGCACAAGGTGTTTGGCATCATTGCTGGTGCTGCAGCCTGTAAATCTCCATTGTTCTGTAAGCCTTAATAAACACATTCACTCACCAAGCCAGAGTTGAGTTGTCCTTTACACAGTGGGCTCTTTCTCACATCAGAGGCAGACATTGCTCTTACATCTTTCCAGTACATTCGTGAAACATCAGTTACCCAGTATTCTCAGATATAAAAGGAGGTGGGTGGAACAGTGGATTAGTGCATATAATTTTTGGAGGTTGAGAAGTCACACAGTTTTCTGTCTGCAACTGGTAACCCAAGAAAATTGGTTAGGTAGGTGTTGTCCCAAGACCCAAGAACCATGAGTGAAATGTCTAAGGGCAATGGGAGATAGATGTTCCAGCTCAACTAGGGAGAGTGGAACCAGCCTTGCTCTAACTTCAGTTCTATTCAGGTCCCCCATGGATTGTATGAGGCTCACCCATATTGGGAAAGGCGGGTCTTCTCTACTCAGCTTATGGATTCATATGCTCATTCCTTCCAGAAGGGCCCTCACAGAGAGCCGGAAGTAATGGTTTACCAGCTCTCAGGGTATCTCTTAGCCTAGTCAACCTAACACATAAAATTAACCATAATAGCCTCCTATCTGGAGAAACTCAGACCAAACAACAACAAGAACAAGAACACTTTATTATTTTACTATCTATGGCTCTTAACTCATACCAAAAATGTGAAATATATTATGGAATAATAATAACCAAAATTTTTTGATTAAATTTCTTAGGCACTATTATATACCCAGCGTATGTCCCAGTACTTGACTACTTCAATTCTGCCTTGTGGTTAAGTCCTACTATCATTTTGAAAGAAAACAGAATTAGCAAGTCCTGTGTGGTTAATCTTAGAAGAGAAATTTGAAACTTTCATTGATGTAAAATACAGCTGTCTTCACAGTTGCACAGGTTGGAGGGAGAGAAAAGAAAGGGGAAGGGAAAAGGGATTTAAAAGGAATTTATGTGGCTCGAGGATAACCTGCACTGGTCCGCCTTCTGCTTTCCTGGAAAGGATGACTTTACCTCATTTGATGAGACTATTTCACGTTTTTGTTGTTGTTGTTTGTTTGCTTGCTTTTGTGTTTGCAGTCTAAAAAAAAAAGGAATTAAATTATGTGTTTGGTATATGTGTCAACTCCCCACAAATAATGTTATCATTATATAATGCAAATATGTACTAATAAAAACTAAAACTAAACATGCACACATACACACAACAGTTTTCTGGGTTTAAATATGAGGATATTCTTTTCTGATGCTCCCCTAGACTTTGATTAGTACAGTTGAGATATTTCTCTTTGGAGAAGCCTTTCCCCTTCCTCCTCACAATTCCAAGGATTGCCAGAAGATGTTTCTCTGCTAATCCAGGAATAAACTTTCTCTCTTCTCTCCCCACCAGGCTCGACCCAGATTCTCAGCAGGTCTTGGTGGGGGAGGGGCTTCTTGCACAGAGGCTGTGGAACACTCAGTCTGGGTGTGGCAGGGTCCTCAGTGGAGCTGATTGGCTGCAGGACAAAAGCAGTTCTAGAAAGTAGTCCTGACCCTACCCTCCAGAGGTGAAATACATCTACCTGTCACAATCAGGCAAAGCATCATGAAGAGGCTCTTGGGATCTCTGCTCTGGCTTTTGTGCACTCAGGTTTGCTGTAAGTTGGACTGTCCCAAATTTGAGAAAACTGAAAGTATTTTGCTTCAAAAGAGGAGGGGGAAAGGAGCTCACAAATCTTGCAAACTTTCTTCCCTCTCATGATCTATGGGGGCATTTTCAGGGATGTGTAGGTGCAGTAGTGACATCACCTGTGACTGTTTCTCCATTCCTACTCAGGTGTGACAGGGGTGCAGGTGGAGCAGAGTCCTCCAGCCCTCATCCTCCAGGAGGGAGCCAGTTCCACGTTGTGGTGCAATTTTTCTTCCACTGCGCAAAACATTCAGTGGTTTCGCCAAGATCCCGGGAGACGCCTCGTCAACCTGTTCTACATTCCTTCAGGGACAAAGCAGAATGGAAGATTAGAGGCCACGACAGTCCCTAAGGAACGCCACAGCTCATTGCACATCTCCTCTTCGCAGCCCACAGACTCAGCCACTTATTTCTGTGCCATGGCCCACAGTGCTCCCCAGGCACCTGCAGCTGCTACACAAACCCTCAGCTGGACTAGCCCCGTGCCAGCCACAAGCACAGCTGTAGCATTTCTAACCTACGTGGATAAAGCTTCAAGCGCACATACTTTTGGGCCCTATAGGTTAGAGACTATGGGTTTTATCTTCCCTTCTCAAATTATAAATCCCACATTGCAGAAATCTAATTTAGAAGGGTAGTTTCTGACAAGAGGGCTGAATCAGACTACACTGTGCAGGCTTTCCAAAAAAGTAAAAATCAAAACTAATAATAATTTTTAAAAAACATGCCATTTGGATAAAGTAGTTACTGGCAGTGATGCAGATTAGCTGGGTGTCTCAAGCACATTTGGGTCTGCATCCCCACGGCACATGTCCCTGTGTGGAAGGGCAAAGTATTTGCAGCTTATCCATCCAGGGCAACAGAGAAAAGGAAAAGCGCACTGGATGCTCATAGATGATGAAGAGATGTGGTGGGAAATGTTAAAGGGTATGTTCCATCCAGCTAAGACGCATTCACAGTCTTGCAGCTTGCTGTGTGGGCTCGGACCTGATGTGCTCCATAGAGCAGCCCCTGGATGCTGGAGGAGACTACAAGGTCGACTTGCCTTACAGTATCGCTCAAGTCTTCTGTTTCCTTACAGTTATTCTGTGCAGTTTTCCTATTACTGACACTGAAATGCTGAAATCTCAGGTTTTGCTGATGTATTTTGGGCACTGTTGTTAGGTGAATATATAACCGTTGTGTTTTCCTAATTGATTGGCTCTTTTGTATTATTATAAATAGTCCCCATTTATATCTAGTTACTTTTTTGTCTCAAAGTATGTATGTTTTGTCCAGTGATAGTAAAAAATTCCACTGTGCTATTGTTAACATGATATAACTTTTTCTACCCATTTAATTTATTTATATCTGCTATAAATTGCATCTGGAATGTTCTTGAAATAATCATATGTCAAAGGCTTAGTCTCCAGCTTAGCACAATGGGAAAACAGGGCCTCGTGGGAGAACTTGGTTCACAGGGGATATAACCTTGAGAGGGATGGTGTGACCCTAGGTTCTTCTCTTTACTTCCTGGATGCCATGAAGTGAGCAGCTTCCTCTGTCCTTCACACCCCTCATGGTGTACAGCCTCATAACAGGCAGAGCAATGAGGTTGGTCTGCCATGGACCAAAATCTACAGAACTATGAGGAAAACTAAACTTAAATTTATTGTCACAGGTATTTTGTTATAGTGAGAGAAAACAGGCTAACACAACACAGGACTCATAATGTCAAAAAAGATTAAGTTTTGTATTCCTTAACTTCATAAATTCTAATTTCTATTAAGAAAGCAGGGTTATTTTTAAATGGGACAAGTTTGTAATAAATTTTGGCTATGCAAAATAAAAAATCAGTTTTCTCAAAGTCTCACTTTCTTATCACTCAGGATAATGTAAGGGATGCTAAGAGTAATGGAGAGGCATTGTCAGTGGATAGATCTACACCATTGTCACCATTTCCTGAGAACACTTTTCTCATTGACTATGCCTTGTACCATTTTGAAATTTAATTGAACGTGTATATGTGAACTTATTTTTATAACTCCTTCTTTTTAATTTGCTACAATATCTTTCTGAACTACATGTCTTATTTTTACCAATACCAGATTCATTGTGTTACTGTTCTTTATAATAACCCTTGGTCGGATGAATTATCTAATACTGTTTGTTTGGGTTACTAAATATATTTGCATTTCGATAAAAATTATAGACTCAGTTCATTAATTTATACAAAACAGAATTTTGATTGATCTTTAATTTATAAAGGAATTTGGGAAAATTAAAGCTAGTATATCTTCTAATTCATCAGCATGAACTATCTTTCTGATAATTAAGCTTTTAGGAACTTTTGTCACCATCTCTTTTAACTTTTTTCAGCAGAGGCCTTAGACATTTTAAGAAAACAAAACAGTGAGCAGTAATTAAGAGAAACTATTTGAAATACATACAATTTTAAAAGTATTTTTGTATATAAAATGTAAAGAGATCTTACAACTCAATAAATGACAATAAATTTTAAAATGAACAAAATATTTGTTCATACACTTCATAAAAGAAAATATACTAACAAAATATAACCTATGAGAGAAATCCAGCCATTCACTTATTTTTAAGTTTTTTTGAAGTTCAATGAAAGCAAACCAATGTCATTTGTCTAGTAATGGCTTCTTTCATGTTGCAGTGTCAGGGCTTAGGAGTTGAAAAGAGTATGAATGATACTGAAAGCTAAAGACATTTACTATTCTACCCTGTGTGGAAAAACTGTTTGAACATATGCTATATAATAGTTATAAGGGAATTGCAAATAAATACCACAATAAGCTTCCACAGAACACCCATTATGTTGGCAAAACATGACACTATCAAGTATTGACAAAGGAAGAGAACCACTATTTAAGTTAGAGTCTATGTAAAGGCATGTTCTCTTCAATGTCCACTGTTCTCTTCATGTTCTCTTCAAATCCCACTGATCTGACTGGGATATAGGGGAAGGAGATCATGTAGTCTGAGAGCCACTGTCTACCTATAAAGGTACCCTGGGTCATGTGTGATGCCTACTTCACATTTCAGAGGCCCTGTTTTCTCCTGGTAAGGCCAGCACAGGATTTCTATGCTCTCTGGGTACCTCCAAGTGCTTGTGGTAATAGTGAAAGATGGACAAAAACCCAGGAGTTCCACAGGAAATAGCATCCTGCTGCAGAGGTCCTGCTGAGAAGCACATTAGCAGGTCCCAGACAAAAGGGAAGCAGCTGTGATTAATATTAGAACAATTAACTCAAAATAAAATGTCCTTCTATCTCATCTGGAAAAAGTTACCAGGAGCAACATTTTTCTAATACATTCTCAGTCTTCAATTTTTACCTTAAAATAGATTATATAGAACGTGTTTAAAATTGTTGAAAATTAAAGATGCTCACAGCACAAACTTGTGTCCAGGTATCAAGAATCATGATGAGCCTCATTTCCTTGGGCATTCTCTTAGGTTTTGGGTCAGTTAGAATCAGAGAAAACCAAAAGTTATTTAGACTAAGAAATAATAAGGATCAGACCTCATGCAAATGCTGATGCTGAATGAGGGGTCTCTGCAAAGCCAGTATCTTTCCATTTGGTATTAAGCCTGAGTTGACTGGGTGAAATGCAGCTCGACTCAACTTTGGGAGAGATGGGGGATCAGGACAAGCCCTTTGAGAATTTGTTAATCACAAGGACTTAGTGGGACTCATGAGGATAACTGGAACCTAAAGGGACAAACTGAAATTGGTCTGTCCCTTCAGCTTTCTTTGGGGGATGACCTGTAGGAGAAGCAGAGCTGCCTGCCATTGTGCTACACATGAACTTGGCCCAGGACAAAGAGAAACTGAAAGAAACGTGGTGGGGCATGAAGGAGCTGTGAACCAACAGTCTGAGGATCTGGCAGGCCAAGCAAGTAGCTGCACAGTAGAGAGCTCGCTTAGCGTCATGCACAAGGACCTGGGTTTGTTCCTCCACATTGAGAAAAGAATTTTAAAAAGGTTGAGTTGGCCTATCAGCAGCAACATAAGTGAGCTGCCCCCGTGCCTGGAACTTTGAACCTTCAGAGTAAATACGATTTCCATTACAGCCACCTGGCAAATCTCACACAGTTTCTCTGACAACCAATCCTGACCCCATACAATACAGCATATTCTGAGAAGTATATTTCCAGATAGTCAAGTTGAGTCACTTCAAATCCATCACGTCAACCTGACATCCATATGCACCTGTGACAACACATAGCGTTCAAAGCAAAACAAGACTGAGCTCATTCTTCCTGCTAATGTGATGCAGCCATTGTTCCCTCAACCAAAATCATACTAACACTCTCACCCAAAGAGGCTACAAAGCCTCTTGTCCGTCACATCCTCATTGGTATCCTGTACCACAAGTTCTGAGATTAAAGGAGACATAAGAACAGCTCTCATTGGCAGTTTTTGCTACCACGTGATGTTCATATCAAAATGAAAAATAAATGACATAACTATTGTAGTTCTTGTTTCTTTTTCTTTTTTTTTTTTAATTTTCATACCGGGTATAGAACTTGGGTCCTTGTGCTTTTGAGGCAGGCAGTAGAACCACTGAGCTAAATCTCCAGCTCTGTAGCTCTTGTTTCTATGCCATAATTATAGTTGGCAGCTATTTTTTCTAATATGCTCCAGTTAAAGTAAATATCTTAGTTGGAAGCTAGCAACTCCACTCACTTACACACTAGATTTTTTTTGTAAGAGAAGCTCCTTAGTCTGCCATAATGTTGAATGAAGAGTTCCATTAGTCCACCACTATAGTTTCAGCAGATATATTCCTAGCATAGAAGAAAAAGTCCATATTCTGGTATCTATTTAAAGAAAAACACCACAAAAAGAAACAAAATACTAAGCTGGCAACAGGCAGAAAAATGTCATTGGAGACCCTGTAGTTAGGTTTTAGTTTCCAGCCCAGTATATGACACAGGCCTGAGGAAAAAATGAAAACAAAACTAAAAGAACTAAGAGAGAAAGCGGGGAGCCAGGATGACCAATGCCGATGCAACTAACAAAGGCACTGGCCAGTTCAAGGCACCAATTTTTATTGGTAATCAATTGAGGTGAAGGTGAGCTACCTGCAAGAGGAGAATGACACGTGGTTTTTTAATGGAAATGATTGTAAAGGCTCTTAAAGGACAAGACCAAAAGCATTCTTGAATTAGGAACAAAATAGACAGAATATATGGTTGTAATTAGAACATTGCTCTTCTAGTAAGATTTTAGTTGTGGGGATGGAATTTGGGTGTGAGTTACTCTGACCCCGGCATGGAGGCTTCTGCCAGACTCACTTCTATAAGCAAGCCGATTGTGGGGTTTGCACTTCACAGCCTGCTTTGGGCATAATCGATATTACAGTCTCCCAGAGGTCATTATATTAATCAGCTTTCTCACTGCTGAGACATGAAGCCCAACATGACACATTTTTTTTTTTTTTTTTTTTTT